AAGGAGAAAGGAAAGATAAAAACTAACTTTGGTTAGTTCGGGTCATCTGCCCACTTGGGTCCCCTCCCAACCTACTCTGCACCGCCAATCAACTTGCTGGAGGAGGCAGAGTGAGAAACAGAGAAGGCTTTGATGCTCTGCAAACCCTGTTCAGCAACAGCTACAACACGAGTGTGTCATCAGTACTGTTTTGGTCAGAACCTAAAACACAACACCATATGAGCTGCTATGAAGAAAATTAACTCTATCCTAGCCAGGCCCAGTACCCAAGTCTTGACTCTAGTATAAGATAGGATTACTAAGTTAAGATATGAACAATGAAACTTCAATTCACAGACCTGTTGTTCCAGATACTCTTGAAGAGGTTTAGTGCTTCTTGAAGCCGATTGGTCTGATTGTCCTCTCGTATAACCATGTTGTAGCTACTGCTCGCCACCACAAATATGATTGCAGTCACATCTAAATCAAGAAATATCCATTAGTTAATACCAAACTTCAGCAGAAATATCCAGGAATCCCAAAGTTCAATAAAAAGCTGCCAGACTTTCAGCTTTCTGAAGAGAACAGGCTGGAATGCTATTGCTGACAGCTTTCTAAGTACCAGAAATAAAAAAAGAAAGTGAAGAAACCATTAAATATAGGAAAGGCAGGCCACAGAACAGAAGCTGACAGAATGACAGAAAATGTAGGAAAGAAAGGAACAGGAGCAAGAGAAAGAAACTGAAGAAAGCTAAGAGGAGACTTTAAAGAAGATTTAAAAGGTGTGAAGAAATTTAGAGAGCAACTCTGAGCTATCAAGAAAGGACAGGGAGGCCCTTGGGGGAAGACCTCAGGACAAACGGCCCTTTGATCTGCATGAATAGTAATAATTAAAATAGTAGACTGCTGTGAATTCATAGTTAATTGCTCTAGTCCTCCTATAGTGTACTATACTGCTTAGAGGCCCCTATCTCTTTCCTGGGAGATATTCCCAGGCTCACAGAATCCAGATCTCTCTTTCCGTGTGGCTCTGCTGCTCCAGACCCCTTAGCCTGACTTCCAAGCTCATCTACCTCAGACATCAAGAGCAGAAGAGATGAGTCAGATCAGGAGGTAACAGGAAGGAGAAGAGGTAAAACCCAAACAAATCTGTTATTAATAGCACAGAAGAAAATCTTGCACCGTAGTTTCACACATATATAAAGTGTTCAGGTGATACTCTATGACAGTAACTGTAGCAAAATACAATGAATTCTAAGTTGCATCTACTTTATCTACTCTGTAGGATCTCATTGTAACTTCTCTACAAAAAAGACAGACTTTTGCATAGCTTCATAAATATTTTGTCCAAACAACGAAGAAAAAGACAAAAATATTTTGACCAACTCTAGCTTCAAGAAAACTTGTATGGAGAAGGTTTCACATCTAAACGGAGATACAGAGTAAAATAAACAGCTGTAGTGAGGGTACGTGCAACACTTCAGGATACACACAAAACTACCTAATTTAAACTGTATGGGAGTTAAGAATATGATCACCTGAACAAAGCTGATGGGAACATCCATGTTAAGACTCCAGATCTTACAAAACGCCTGCAGACGTTTCAGGTCTCTGTCTAGGCTGGTGCTACGTTAGCATTCGAAGGAACCCAGCCTATATGCAGGTTACTTAAATGAGGGTATTTGTTTATATGTTTTCAGTAAGGGCCTTCCCCTTAGGGCTGTTTTTCAAGAAATTATACTAATACGCGTGGCTCCCTAGAAAAGTGCAGATCTAAAAACTCCAACACAAGCTTTTTTGACAAGGGCATTTTGGGGCTACACTATACAATGCTGTAGTAGATTACATACTGTATGCGACACCGTGTCTAAGAAGACAATCTCACACTGCATTAATGGGCTGGTGCTGATTTGGAAAGACGCACCTATGGCATAGCAATATGGCTGCAATTATGTGCAAAAATAGGATATTCTGATTTTATGCATATATTAATTATCCTGTAATTTTACATTTTGTATATGCATGAACATATGTAAACCTTCACTCGGAAGACAGAATATAGCTTGGAATTTAACACTCACGTAGCTGGCAAATAATGCATGAACCCACCACCAAAAGATCCCTAATTAAATGAAGAGAGGGAAGCCGAAGAAAATGGACAAGCTATGTTAAGTTATGAAACTTGAATTCCATTCCACCTACATTCTCCCCGAAGATACTCTATGCAGTTACAGAATTTTTCATGTCAAGAAAAATTCCATCCCGTATGACTGTTCAGGTAATTCCTTATCAAGCTACATGGAAAAGAAGATGGCTTTCACACAGTGAGAAAATAAAGATTGAGCATTAAAATTTTGCAGAGAACTATTTTATAAAACAAACATAAATTCTAATCGTACCATTAAAACACTGGATCCATTTTCGGCGTTCATCTCGTTGCCCTCCAACATCAAACATACTAAGAAAAAAACATAAATTGAGTCAGAATACATTTTGTGTTTGGGTTAGTTTCTTTTTTCCCCCAAATGCAAACAGAAAAATATAAGAAATTTTAGGACTTCCATGTCATAGAGGTAAAAGGAAATGAGGATTATGAGAACCTGAACAGGTAACAGTCCACCAACATATGCACGCAGAGCTTTCATCACAAAACAGAAGTATGTTTACTTTCACCAACACCTGCACTTGAACGTTAAGAAGTATGTACATCGCAGATTCATTTTCACCCTTACAAGCTAAGACATTAAAAAAAAGTCCTACAACAAGTCATTTGCTGAAACAAGTATCACAGATCTAAAGTCAACAAGACCAGACTAAAACTCAGCAGTTTTTGTTTGGGACAAGCTTTCTAACCTGGGACAGTGAAGGGGACATGCGTTTTCCGACTTAGATATGTAAAAAGTTTTTTGTCAAACATTTCACTATATAAACTAGTAATGAATTAAATATTCAGAAAGGGTCTTTGTAAAAATAGATTTAAAACATTTTGTTCTTTGAGTTTTAAAATCAAAGCAGAAAACTGCACATCAATTTTAATTTCTTTTAAAAGCCATACTAATTTTAAAAAATCATAAAATACTTGCTTTCTATTAAACATCAACTTGATAAATACAGTAGTCTCAATGACTGTATGGTAGACTGTCCTCCAATTTACCCTGGTACTTGTCTGCATTGTATTAAAAAAATAAAGGAAAAAAATAGAAGAAAAAACCAAGGACACTTACTGAAAATTTACTTTATCCACCTGAAACTTGGTTTCAAAAATTCCTGATGTCAAAACTCTGCATCTGAGAAGATCCTAGAGCATAAAGGGAAAGTCATTGATTCAACACAGATACTTCGTAATTCTTCATATATCCAGCAACAGAAATAAAAGCCTTTTACCCTGTGCTGACAGCATATGCTGTACCGCAAAAACAGGGAACAGAGTGTTATGAAGCTGCATTTAAGGTTTTGATCTTGAACACGCATGCACACATATGGGTGTGCTCAACTTCTAAAGTACATACACTTCCACAAGCAGGTTGCAAGTGCCAGGCTTGGAATACGAGGAAACATTTACAGGCCACTTAAAGCAAACGCAAGTTTTCAGAACAGCACAGACCCATCCCTAGAGATTAGATGATGCATTCATGGATTTCAGCGGGACGGTGGCACACAACAGGTTCTTCAAAATACCACTAATTAATTCCCAACCCCAGAAGGTAGATCCCTCCCTGAACGGTTCAGTGCTTGGCTATTAAAAGAACTGTCTAGGTCTCAGAATTTTCCATTTTTTCCTTCAAAGAACCAGGAGCTCAACCCCTTAAATCTTACAAGAATGGGGCTTTTCAAAGATAAAATTTGAAATTTCCTGTAGAGACAAAAATGATCATCAGAAATTGTGAGCTACAAACAATTGAAACTGTTATAAGCGCTACAAAATCCTATTAAAAACAAACCGTATTGGCTTTTATTTACTGTGTATTGCAAAGCAGAGACAGCCATATACACTGCCTAGCAGGTAACTGATGTACAAGAACCTAATTTGCATCGGCTGCAGACTGAGTACGCAGTCCAAATATAACTAACTACAAAATACCACTTTGAATTCAACTAAAGGTTTCATAATTTAGGACTTGGAAGTTTTTACATTCTTCACAATGGGTCTAAATGGCAGATAAATTGTAACATTTGCAGCAGACGAGATCATGTAAGTGGAACAGACTGTAAAAAACCCTATAGCACAATAAAAGCTCTGTTCTTACTATATAGGAACCAAACTGGTTAGTCAATGTCAAAACCACATGAAATCCAAAGGTTAGACAACACTGTTAAATCATTAAACAAAATGGCTACATTTTAACATCAATTTTATGATAGTAAATTATTGTTGTCTGGCTGTTTTAATACTCATATTGAAATATGCATAGGTTCAACCATTGTTCTAACTTGTGTTTGAAACAGTTTGAAAATTTGAACGCCCCAATAAAGAGATGCAAATTTGGAAAATTGGACTCTCTGGGGCTCTGCATCTCTAGAAATCATAGAAGTATGATGTTAAAAAAAAAAAAAAGTGGTGATTCGATTATTACACTCAGGAGTTCTTTTAGGACAAACATGTATGCTTGTGGGGAGTTTCAAGGCAATCAATGGTCCCAAACAAGCACTGTAAGTACTTGTGCTTTCTGTTACTTACAGAAGTATATACTTATTTTATTTAAGTAACTACTTAAGCACTCACCTGACTTAAGGAATTGTTATAAGTAAATTGTAAGTACTACACTTAATACTATATACGAGGTGTAAGTAAATACAAGTTAAACTCCTGACAGCCTTAGCCTCCAATATAGAACTGATACTTGTTTTAAAGTTTCATATCTGAAGATTAGTTGCTCCAAACTTCAAATATAATAACCTACATTTTTAGTATTTTGTTACTTGAAAATAGAATTATTTTAGTGATAAGAACACCTCATTTATTAACAAAACCTCAGATTTTTAAAAGGATGAATGATTAATTTATTCTTGAACAACTTTAAAGGATACAAACTGCTCTCACTTCATCAGTACTGTCTGCAGAAGTTTTGGGACATTAATATGTGTTTTGGTTATTTATCCTGTCGAAGTATGCTAGATGCTTAATTGCATTATTAATGGGCAGAAAGTTAGGAATATGCATGTGATTGTGGATTAGGACTTTGGTCCTAAAAAGAGCCTCAGATTATCTGTAACAAAATGAAAACTACAATTCCTACTCTGATTAAAAAAAAAAATAATCTTCTAGCAAGGTTATTTTTACAAAATCTGGTTTACAGTAGAAGCCAGTGGGGCTGAGAGGATACCAACCAACTGCATCAAAGAACGTGCACAACTGTTATTCAGCAAGGAGGGCAAAACATTATACATTACTCATTCAAATGAATGTTTGAGTTTTAGGTCACAGAATCATGATTTAAGTCTTGAGTCTAGGCAGATTTTCATTTCACAGTACATTTACATGTATAAACATAATCTCAATCCAAATGACAAATTTTTACTAGAATACTAAATATGTACAGTACATGGCAATACCTGTGTTAGTGCCACAAATGGCAATTAGAAAATTAGTATGATTGTTATCCTTAAAGATGGAGGGGGAAGATAAATTGTGTAATTTCTTAATGAAACTTTCCTTACCTGGTCAGATGGTGTATACTCATTTTGTTTGACTATGTCAATCTTGTCTAGAAAACTGGGGAAAGGAAAGAAAGAGAGTAACTTTTCATTCTCAAGTAGACAAACTATCTAATGCGTTAGTAACTGACAGGTTCCCAGATAAGATTTGTTATATTTTGATGTGCTCAGATTCAGAAAATGCTGAATACATTTAAATTGCTCAGCATATGTGGGCTGGTATGTGAAACATGCCTTTCCTAGCACCACCCAGCAGAGGGCCAAGTCCACAGTTTTATTAATCAGGTCTGGTCATCTCGTTCCAACCGCCTCCCCCTCTGCTCCCTCCGCTGACAAACATACAAGTAATTTAGTGTAGGTAATTTGGTCATGTAAGTTGTACAATATAATCTGCTACTGCTAACAGTAAAGCAATGACTGAAATAAATCGCCTACATGTAACTTTCCTGAAAGTAAGATGAGTATTTTTAAAAAATTTATTGTCACTATAATTCTTTTAATAAATTAAATCCTTGAACCGATTTCATGACAAGTGAGAGGGAATACCAATTCTTCTGTCAACTGTTGGTACCAATTTTTCAGCTTACTTTCTGGAGAAGTAGCAGTAATAGGCCAAATGGGTATAAAAAGATGTATTTTATTCAAATTCATTAGGCATTACCTAAAGAAGATATCCTGGAGTCTTTAAAATGTTTTTACCAATTAACTGTAACCTCCTAATCATCTTTCACTTCAACTCATAGGAGCAAGAATCTCAAGGAACCAATTTGTTAACTCTACTTTATGGTGGTGTTACTATGAGACTCGAAGACGTAGCGAACCAGCAGCTTCAGGACGCAGATTTTATGCTGTTCGCAGCCCCGATCACACTGTCCAACACCAGGGCTTCACCATGCCCAGACACCTTCCCGTTCCGCACGACTGGGAGATCTAGCATGGCTTCTACAGTTAACGTTACCCATAACATTCACGATTAACAGAAGTCTTAAAACCAGTATACTTAAAGTATCCTTTTAAATTCCTTGCATGAATTCTTTCCTTTATGAAGAAAAGTCAGAAAGAAAAGGTGAGCTTTCCCTTCGATCCCTACACATAGGTGGGTACACCGAAAGTGCATTGACTACAGTCAGAGGCAAAAGTTTAAGGGGGGGAAATGCAGCCATGTCCCAGATTTCCAAATCAGAAACCAAACCCCCATTAAAATCAGCAAGGGTCTTAGCCCTCAGTTTCAGCCCCGGCTTCCCAACTGAATTTCTAAAACACCTCATGAAAAGCAGGGGAAGGAGGAAAAAAAAAAAAAAAAAAAAAATCACTGTATGTTTTAACAGCAGCTTCAGTGTAACGCACTTCTCACCAGGAACTAGATGCCCATCTCGTTTCAGAGAGAAATGAAAAGTAGTTTTTGTTCGGTCTGAATTACAGAATTTTAAACACATTAAATTGTATCTTAATAAACATGCTACTGAAAACGTGAGACAAAGCGTAACGATCAGTTTCCATCATGAAAGACGATGTGGAGACAGATATACAAGGATAAAATTGATGACAAATTGTGTTCTGCAATTTGCAAGCTGGATTTTTTCCTCACCTCTTCCAGACTGTTAAGTATTTTTTTAATCCAAAAGAAAAGAAGTAAAGCTCTTTGTTCGGTACACAGAGGCTGTGAAATATGTACAACAATCATTAATTCCAACCAGCACATTATATTCTACCCTAAGACCTCAGTTTCAGAATCATGTGGCAATTTCGTAAGTTGGAAGATGCTTGAAAAATGTTCAGAACATAGCATGTTCATAAAGATATACAGGCAATTACTACAATGACCCAGCCTTTCTGTACCAAATTTATCTAAGCAAGCATTTTATGCAAGGTTCCACAAGACATGGATTTTTCGTTTTGTTTTGTTTTTAAACACTCGGCTAATCAGCTTAATGGATTTTGGAAACCGACAATTAGAAAATAACAACAAGATATTGCTAAAACCTGGAACTGAAAGTACAAACCTCTTACTGTTGTTTATGCAGACTATTTTTAGGCCTATGATTTCCTTGAAAAACATCAGCCACATAGAAGCAGCAGTACTGTACTTGAGATGAATTCCAATAGCAATGTTCATGCCAGGTAAAACAAGTTTGAATGGAATAAACATTTCTTCTTCCCCCAAAACAAGTTCCAACATTCAGTAACATCTGATACTCCTAACAACACTTGTTCAAGAAGGAATCTTTCACTGTGTGATAGTTACCAGAAAACCTACCCTGCTTCCAGGGGCATTTTAGGGAAAATGGAGCAAAGCAATACGTTAAATGAAGACTTCCTCCTGTGCGTGCGCCTTTTCATAGAACTCTGCTCTAGCAACTTTAGAAAGGCCTAAAGATACTAAAAGCCACTTTGATTTTTTTGCTCAAACATAAAGAAAGGGGATTATTCAGCTGGTCAGCTGAAAAATAACTGGGTCTGTAAGGAGAAAAAAGTAGCAGAAATTCGATCTAGTGTGATACATCTAAAATAAGGAGCAACAGTGGGAGCATGAGAGTTCAGAAAAGATCAATACACTATGCTCAGAGACTTCTAAGTCAATGTTAGTCAAGACCAAATGATTTATCCAGTAAATTAAACTAATAATTAAGTCAGATGAGAACAAAGCCTAATTCAAAATAAAAACAAATTCACCATCATTAATTTCTATTTTTAATTCTTGTTATGCTGTACCCAAAACACAAGTGGGGCCACTTCAGTACTACTTCGTGTGCTGAATTCACTGCTGACATAGATTGTTCTAAGTCTACTGGAGATATGTCCATCTACTATGTCAACAATGAATTTCACAGGGAGAAAGAGAAATAACCTTGGTGAAATAATGCAAATAAAACTGTCAAACCACAAAACCAAATTTTTATATTGTGAGCAAGTCTTGCACCAAGTTACAAAGTCAGTTTTTTTTTTCTTCTGTAGAATTGTCCCAGAGATTATACAGGAAAGCTATTTTCCAGAAAGCAAATCCTGCATTCAGCATCACTGCCAATTCTCACTTAGGGACAGGTTCTGCACATGACTGAACAACAGGATCAGTTATTGCTCTGCAAAATACTGTCACTTAGTATAAGGAGCTTTTGACTGTGTTACAAAACATCAATGCTCCGCTGTAACACATGTTAAAAAAAGATTTTAAGTCATTTGTAGTCACCAACACTAGAGAAGAAGCATCTCTAGGACAGCAGCAGATGTGTCCCTGGGATATTAAAATGAAAAGTATTAATAAAAATTTAAAATAAAAAAAAAAGTGTTTTATTTTTCTGTGTCCCTTTCTTCAGCTTGGGGAAGGAAAACACACATGAAAAGTTTTGAACAGATCTCTCTGAAGAATCAAGTGTCTTTAATTTTAAGGGGTGCATTTAGGAGGCAGACTTTATACAGAGAGATACACAGAAGCTTTCCTTAGCTCCTGCAAGTCAAAGTAATTAAGTCATACACATATCCCCAGTTCTTTCCAAATTTTTCATAAGCTTATTATGTCAAAACCATGTCCCAATTTTCAGATCAAGATATATGCCAGTTACTGATTTATCCTGGAGTTTTTTCATACAGAGAATGTTGTTTTATCCCTGTGGGGGGGGGATTGCCTGGACGAACAACGCTGCTGCCGGACTGAGAGGTGCAGCCTGCACTCCTTTTCCCCACTGAAAAGGTAGAGAACACATCAGATCTTCCACCTCAAGAAACCACACAACTTCACTGTTTTGGGAAGAACGGGGAGGGGGAAATCAGACTGCCTTCCCTCGAGCATTTCCTGACAGTTCCCCCCCCCCCC